TATATATATATATATATATATATATAATGAGGGGCCAGTTGTTTAAAAAGCTTAATCTGGATCAGAATTATCTGGATTAGGAAATCCCATGTTTTGGTAACCAGGATCAGGTAATCCATTTTACTTGATTTTACTTGGACTCTTACTTGGTTTTTCAACCCAACCTTACTAAAACGTTTTGAACAACACAAACTGGCGATTTGATCCAGATCAAAACCAAGATTGGATTTTGTGATCTAATCTGATTTCAGAATTCTTTTTTTTTCTTTTGAACAACCCATTTTCAAGATTTGATCCAATCCGATCAAATTACTTTTGAACGACTGGCCCGAGGTTATGAGCGATAACAAACCCAACCTCATGTAAAAACTGGCAAATTCTTATATGGGTTTGTACCATTTGATTTGTATGAAAACATATCTAGGAAAAAAGCAAGCACAAAGGTCTGCCCCTAAACCCAACCATCAATGGATTGTAAGCAGATTTTGCTCAATTAAATTTGCCACCAATTCACCAAAATGGAAACAGGTTACGAACTGCCATGAGAGTACTGTGGAGATAACAAAAATAGGAAAGTTGCTTGACGCAAGTGATGTAAACTAATTCTAATTATTTTCTGAACAATGTTTTTTTCACAGATCCTCAAAAGAATCATTAATTGTATCGTTAGAGGAATTAGAACAAGAATTGGTAAATTCAGGAACAGTTTGATGCCATTTGTACTATAAGATAAACAGTATACCTCAACACTCTTACACAGGCAGTGTGTTACAAACCTTCCTATAATCATGAGCTCTTTATCTCTAGCTTGAGGCCGAATACGAGTCCAAATGTCCATGGTAAACAAGGTGCTACTGCTGTTGAAGATTGAGGCTAGTGAGCTCATGAGAGCTGCCAACATGACTGCCAACATTAAACCTCTGAGACCTGTTTAGGAATTGATTAGCGGAGAAAGAAAATAGAAAGACAATTAAGTGTAAACAGAACAGCTTGTTAATTCAGTTAAACTCATACATTAATTTTGTGTAGGGGATACTATCAGGTTAAAAACACTGGAACAATAAATTATGTTGATTACCTGTTGGCATTATGGAAACCACTAGTTTGGGGTAGGCAATGTTGGAGCAGCCAACTGCTGTGCCGCACACTTTCGTACAGATTCTTGGCTCCACACAACCTACTTCATCTAAGAAAAAAAAATGGTATTGGTATTCCTTGATCAAGATTGTAATTATAAAGACATGTCATATTAAATATGTTCATATTAAAATGCATACCAGGGTAAAGCACTCTGCTGATCATGCCTGGAAACACCATGAGAAACATAGGGAGTAGTTTGAGGTACCCACACAATATACATCCGGCCTTTACATGCGTCAGACTGCGGGCAGCCAAACAGCGCTGCACAATTACCTGTAGAATACATAATGTAATGTAATGTAATGTGAACAATTAAGCAAGGATGATGGCAGAGTTATATATATATATATTTATACACACACACACACATATATATATATATATGTATATATATATTAGTGCTGTCAAACGATTAATCGCGCATCCAAAATAAAAGTTTTTGTTTACATAATATATGTATGTGTACTGTGGTTATTTGTTATGTATATATAAATACACACACATTCAGTATATTTTTTGAAAATATTTACATGTATATACATTTATATATTTATATTATCATATTTTATATTATATAAAAATATATTTAATATAACATACCATATGATTCTTAAATATATACATGCATGTGTTTGTATTTATATATACATTACCAATAATTGCAATGCCAAATAACACGCCGGGCCATGGCAGGTCCCCAGTCGTGGGATCTCTAAGTAAATGAAAGGCATCCTCGCGTGGAGTGTAACATTGTTCAGAGATGTTAAAACTCCTCTGAGATGGCAAAGATAAACTATATTTATCCAGTAAAGCACTGTATCCTCCAACTTCATAGAAGGCTATTGACAAATAGGGGACAACACAAGTAGCAGTTTATTATATAGTAGTTAATCTGTATTGACAAGTTATTTACACAAGTATTTGTACATTTTTGTTTGTTTGTTAATGTAAAAATTTTATATAAAAAAAAAACTTTGTAAATTTTTGCACATTCATGAGGTGCTGACCACATTCTCCAGGTGTGCTGTCAGTTGTGCCTGCTGACCTATCCAAATACATGGCTATTATTTCATACCCTTTACCTAGTTCATAAGCAATATATGCAAAATATTTAACTTTTAGGTTAACAGTCATTTCCTTTCACCCTAAAGCACGGTGCAATGCAGAATTAAAAATATGGGTAAAACACCTGTGAAAAAATGAATGCATTTTTTTCTTCTTCTTTTTTTAGAGTGTAATACTACTAACTAAAACTGTTTATTTTTTGTTTTAAATCATAGATGATTAGTGCTTAAACTTATCTGATGGTTAACTTAAAAAATAAACAAATAAAAAGAGCACGTGCTGTCTCATTACATTGTGCCAAATGTAAGCTGTCATCAAACTGTGAATAATGATAAGACAATGAATTTTGATAAGCAATTGGTACATACAGAATCCCATGAGGATGAAGGCTCCAGCAATGATAACAAAGGTTTGGACAGTATCTGTATACATCAATGCAGCCAGTCCTCCTACAGAGACATTGCATGTCAAATTTTAACACATTAAAAGATTATTTGTTTCAAAAAGGCTATTTAATATCTACAGCAGTGCTTCCCAAACCTGTCCTGGAGAACCCCCTGCCCTGCACATTTTGTATGTCTCCCTAATCAGACACACCCAATTTAGTTCTTGCAGTCTCTACTAACGAGCTGATGAGTGGAATCAGGTGTGTTAGATAAGGGAGACATACAAAAGGTGCAGGGCAGGGGGGCCTCCAGGACAGGTTTGGGAAGCACTGATCTGTATCTCACAGAAGTGAGTACACCCCTCACATTTTTGTAAATATTTTATTATGAGATGACATTTTCACTTAGGGGTGTACTCACTTTTGTGGCCAGCGGTTTAGACATTAATGGCTGTGTGTTGAGTTATTTTGAGGGGACAGCAAATTTACACTGTTATACAAGCTGTACACTCACTACTTTACATTGTAGCAAAGTGTCATTTCTTCAGTGTTGTTACATGAAAAGATATAATAAAATATTTACAAAAATGTGAGGGGTGTACTCACTTCTGTGAGATACTGTATATAATATATTGTCTGTCCAAAACCGATTGTTTTCTAGCGATTATAAGCATTCAAACAATAGAATAATGCCATGGTCATGGGTTTGATTCCCAAGAAATGCATGATCTGACGAAATGTTTGTCTTCAATATTTCAATCTTCAAACTGTATTTAGATGAAAATGTCTGCCAAAGGCGGAAACATCTAGAAGGGAATGAGATGGATCAGTAGCTGATTTTACCTGTGACTGTATAGAGTGCTGTTATGCAGAGCAGGGCAATCACTGCAACATAGATATTCCAGCCAAGAGCCTGCTGTATAAAAACTGCTCCTGAGAACATGTCAACCTATGGTCAGCGAGAGAGTCATAGAGAGAGTGAATTGGTGCCCTTTTTGAGTGTAACAAAGCGCACATTATGATTCTTCAGTGTTTTATATTATCAAGACATGTATTTATACTTACGGAAATCTTTGTGAAGATGTAAAGGAAAAGTGAAATGACAGAGAGATACAAGCTAATTCTAGTCCCTCCAAATCTTTTCTTGAGATACTGAGGCATTGTAATCACCTTTTGTAAAAAAAGTCACTCATATTATTCAAATTAACATTTTTCATCTAAAATATCACCGTAACAAATGAAAAATGAACATACCCCTGCAGTTAAATAAACAGGGACGAACACCCAGCCCAGCAACAAAACAATAAATAATGCCTGTGAAACAGAAATGCTTGAAACGAATAATTGGAATCACGATCTGATTTGACTTTTACCAATGACAAAGCACGATATTTTTTCTATATTTAAATATATAGCTTACATTCCATTCGAAACCCCCGACAGCGATTCCACTTGCAGCTGCTGTTCCTGCAAGACCAACAAAATGACCACTGCCGATGTTGCTCGCAAAAAGAGAAGTTCCCACCTATGTGTGTGGTGTGAGAGAAATACATACATAGAAAAAGGAGAAAGCTTTAAAATAAGCATTGCAATCTTTAGATACAGTCACAACTTTTATTTTCATAGTGACAAAAGAGCGTGCCAACATTTAAAAACTACACATTTTTTCAGTTTTTAATTAAACTTATCATTATTAAAATTGAATATTTAACACTCACAGGCCACCATACCATGGTCCGACCTGCAAGAAAGTAGCCGCTTACTGTGCCACGATTAGTCCTAAATGTAGACTAAAATAACAAAAAGAGAATATTTCTTTTTACCACATTCTACATAAATTAAAAACGTAGTTCTGTTAACAGACATATCAGTTGTTCAAATGTTAAAACACACAAGAACAAGCTTTTACTAACCCAAATTCCTACTGCAATAACCACCATGAAGTAGCCAACGATTACACTGATGTCAGCTGGATTGTTGATGGTTGCATGTTTCGCTGTAGTGTTTTCCATTTTTGAAGACAGACAGACACGATGCTGATATCATTTATGAGATGACAAAACATGAAGCATCCAACGGATGAGGCACTTGAGGAGGAAAACATTTCTTCATACAGGATTTCAGGGTAAAATCCATGATCTTTGCCCACATGGCAAAAAAGCTGATGAAGGAATATTATTAACAATAATTTACTTATTACTAGCCACTTAGAAAAGACTTTAAATGCTAAACTTACACCTTAACTAATGCTGTGGTACTTTTAGTAGAAAACAAAACAATGTAGTGCTTAAATTGTAGTACTTTAAATAATTTTATGATTTCAAAAAAGCATATGAAAAAGCATTAACATTTTTTTCAAAAGCAGAGAAACACCCTTGAGCAGACTATTCAAAATGTCATCATGAAAAAAATTGCAGCTACTTATTTAAAGTATTTTCATTAATAACATCATGTAATCATGCTTATTTCTTATGTATTAAAATAGACTTAACGTTGACTTAAAATTTTCATATAGGTCTTATTACAGTATTATACAAGCATAATTAGAGTAAAAGGCTAAATGATGAGATAAAACATTATTTTGCATAGTTTTTGTTTATGCTGACATCGGCAGAATAGCATTTTCTTCTTTTCTTTTCTTTTTTAATTAACATGCTTGTTTCTCACCAACACCTAAAATAATGTTCCCAACAGTACAGTTCTAACCGTATTTGGAAATAACTAGAAGAGGAGGGATAAACTCTTTCATGGATGATCAGCTTGTGAATGCATCAGTTGTGTCACTAAGGTCTGGTTAATAATCCTGTACTTTGGTGTGACATTATCACTACTTCACTGCTTTTCAAATGCAACAACAACTCACTTCTATTTGCAGGACAAGCAACCAAGAAACTTCGGTTCAATTTATTTAATGCAAACCAGAGCACAGACTTTCCATTCAAACAATGTTCAATATTTGACAGTTGTAGGTCTTTAAAAACAAACAGACCTGTTTGACATCAGATGAAAATACAGTCTCTTTGTCTCTGCGAAAACGTTACTGTAAAACAAAATTACAGTAACGTAGAAACTGAAACAAAATGAAAACAATCATACAAAAAGCAGTCATTTGGTTTCTATTGCGAGTCTATGCTTTAAAACATTTCAGATGAGATGACCAGCTAAACCTAAAAAGATGCCATTAAATCACTACAGATACGTATACTGATCCACTTCATTGAGGGCAAGCTGAACAGTGCGTTACAACGATGTGCAGAAAATCAATCACTATGTCATCATTAACTCTTCCAGAGATGTCCAGCTTCAAGTGGACTCCACAAAAATCACACAAGATACTTAAGGACTATAACATGGATTGTGTTAATGTTAAGACTCATGTTTTGTTGCATTATTGTTCAATGTTAGTTCAGTAATGTGAGATTAAAAGACAGAAATTTCAGTCAAAGAGAAAGTGTGTTTCTTGATTTCATTTGATATATTTAAAAAAAAAAAGTTTGAGCTCGAGATTCTGGCATCAAATAAGCATGAATTCGGGACAGTTATAGTAAATGCATTTGTGAATTACAGGCCATTTAAAATACAGTAGGGTTTGCAACATTAAATCTGAATAGCCACATCATTTAGAATTACATAATGTTGTTCATCAGCGGTTATCATCTGGGTCTATCACTAGGCATGGGCCGATTACCGGTTTCAAGGTATACCGCGATTTGAAAATGTCACGGTTTCAAAACCACTAATATTTTTCGTTATACCGTTCCTGCGGTATGCGCTGTTTTTCATGTCTCCTCAAAGACTGAAGGTGTAGGAATCCCTCAGGTTGAGTGCAGTGTAGAGAGTAAAAGGACCCTCCTCTTGGTGCGAGCGAGCGGTCAGTCACGTGTGTAATGTGTAGGATGGCCGAATTTAAGGAGCTTCCCCTGGAATTTACGCGATCAGCAACCGGCCGTTTTTTGTCTTATTGCAACTCGTCTCTGTTCTGGACTTGCACAA